GGAGTGTTTGGACGTTATTGGATTGTTACCGGCATCAACACCTTCCTTTCTTCTGAGACGGCCAAGGATGCCTTTGTCCAGAAGAGTCGAGCTGCTGCTGCCAGCCTCAGGGCTCAGCAGTTGTTGAAGATATAAAAGACCGCCCACCTGGCTGCTGGTCTCCCAATCTTTCCTTCCACAACAACATCCAAATCCAAACCGCTCCCCTTCCCTCCACTCCCCTCTTCCACACTACATCTTCACACTTTTGCGTGCTCCATCATAGCCTCCAAACATGGCTGGACCAACTCCGCGAGCTAAGCATGCTCCTCCAGTCTCATCCCCCCTTGTCACTCCCCGCCACAAACGTGATCTTCGTGTTAGATTTGGAGCATTTGCTTGCCGCCCAAAGACTTCAATCAAGCTTCGAATGGCTTTCACTGCTGCCTTCCCTCTTCTCACCGCCTGTGCAACCCACTCGTACCGAGTCGGGCCTCTATCCCCAAATTCTCGCCCTATCATCCGTCTTAACCCTAGCAAAAAGGCTGTCAGGATCGAAGTCTTCAAACGCATCAGGCCGGCAGTCAAGCCACGTCCTACCCCTCTCAAGCGTCGCCGAGCCGCTGATGATGACCAGGGACCACCCAAGAAGCGCAGGAAGTGAATCATAGTAAGTGTCTTTTCTCTTGATCCCCCCTAGTCCGAGTCTATCTTTCCTCTGATAACACTCCTTTTTTGTTTCATTTAACAAGAAATCTCGGCTCTAATTTCTCTTCTGACATTGTTTCATTCAACAAGAACTCTTGGCTTCCAATTTTCTTTCTATTCTGTCTTCCTTCAATTTTAATTCTTCAATCATACTATGGGTAAGCAAATACCTATCTAGTATCTCGAATTCTCCACAAACACGTTTTTATCTATCTTGATCTGATATAAAACACTATTGTTACACTATATAGCCTCCTACTCTACACACACACCATCGATCATGCCACTGATTTTTCAGTTTTAGCAAGCCTATCCGAGGTAAGGAATTCAACACATAGAGCATTCAATTGGACATCCAACCAACTAACAAAGCTTTTGCAATCCGCTAGAACTCCATAACTTCTCTCGGAGCAATCCAGATATCAGCTCATCTAGCCTGGCTCACACCTTAAGGTTTGCTGCAATCTGGATCTCACTAAGTGCTCTCAATTTTAATCTATGGTAAGTCGTTTTCTGATTTCGGCTCAACTTCTTCACTGATACTCAGCGACTGATCAGCTTCCCTTCCTTGCTTATCTAGATATTTAGATATTTATCCTACCTTATATCGCGCTGTTCTTAGCTTTTTTTCTCTAAATTGTTTGAAAAGATTATTGGTTGACCTTATCATTAGAATTAAATTTGGAAATTGTAATTCAACTTCATTGTTTTCTCCACATACACATGCCCTGCTACACATGATGCCTTTTAGGGCTAGCGCGCCGCCGGGGGGTCCAACTTTTTTCGATTTGCCCGGCTGTGTATTCAGCAACTACTAAATTCAGTCTTGTTTATTCAAATATGAAGACACGATTGGGTCTTAGAAATGGGCTAGAGTTGAGTTAGCGTGATTGAGAATTGAGGATTGACTTCCTGCCATGGACTATAGCAAACACATAAATTCAAAACTCAGACAAGCACCTCTTTGCCTTGAAAAAAGGGATAGGTACATCTGTCCCAAATTGGATTAGAGGTTGGGGATCCCATAATAACAAAAGATTCCACATGTATTTCTTGGCTGACTCAATTTTGGCAAATATGGGTGCAGTATTGTGTTGTTTGGGATTGGTGCTGAAATAGAGATTGGGTACTTGAAAAAGACAGGGAGGTGAAATCTGAAATGGATGGTTCAAGTCCTGAAAAGCTGAGGATGTTTGTCAGGAGGTGCATGTTGGAGGGAAGATGGGGAAGTTGTTCCAATCATAAATGTGTATCATGGCAAGAGCCTAGGAGTAGTAGTAAAAAATGATGGAGGGGTTTCCCTGTTTGCAGGTGTGTTGGCTTTTGAACTTCTTGCTTGAATTTTCATGGTATTTGTCTTTTTTTTTTTTTTATCAGAAGCCATATGTGGTTGTTTGGGAGTTAAATTCTAAAATCAAATTTAGTCACAGAAAACTATTGTGACTGGCAGGAAAAATAAACCTCAACAAAAATCAGAATCCTTGATCCACAGTATTGGTTTCAGGTTCAATCGTTAAGGGTTGTTCCAAAGATTGGGATTGTCTGATTCAGAAGAATGGTTGGCAATTTTTGAGACAAAAAATATCGGAACAAGTGGACACGTATTTTACCTATCTGAAATTTTCCTACAACTGTGCAATTTGAGGTGTTTCTCAAGCCCCTGAGGTAGAATAAAGTTGAGGCGCGGGTCGCGCTGTCTGCCTCCTCCAGGCCCCAGGGGCTCGGTGAACTCAGGGCGAAGGAAAAACAGTTTCAAACTTTTTATCGTGTGTGTTAACCCTCCGGCTTTTCAGAGAAGCTACTCCAGCAACAATTCATGACTTCTTGGGCTATCAAGACATCTCCAAATATCTGCGAAGGACTCGATCACTAATGTGATACATTGATCGGGCTTGTATCCCCAAGTTTTGTGATCAATGCGTCTCTCAACTCAACACATCTATCTTACATCTCAATTTTGGACTAACACAGATGTGTATTTCTTTGGCCTGTGTACATATCCAAAACCATCTCCCAAAATAACACAATTGATTGCGGTCTGTTGCTGGGGCTCTAATGTATATATCCCCAATTTTCTTCTTCGTTTGATGGGTCCCGGACGAGAACTGCCGAAAGCAGTGTCTGGAGCATTTGTACATAAGCTGCCAACACTTTCGCAATGGATGTTTAGACGTAGGCAATGTGACGAGTACTCTTCCAGTTGATATCCACTTGTGTCGACCATGCTTCTCCACCCGAAGAGCGACATGGATCGGACTCACCGGTAATCGTCTGGGTACCAACGCCTACTATGATCGTCGGACTTGGACTGAAAAGACTTCAGACGCGAAGCAGCTTAACTTATCCCGTCTGAGCTTGTCCTCTCTCAAGATCATGGACAATCGCAGCAGGCAGCACGCAATGGACGCGAATCCTGCCCTCATATCGGGTCCCATCCTTGGCCTCCTTGGCGGCGCTCATTCACCCGCACCACTTCGTCGGCGCGAAAGCTTTCGAAGATTTACTCATTCAATATCTAGGATATGTTTAGTTGTTGTTTTGGAAAAAAAAAGAAAGAAAGAAAATAAGGACATTGACAGTATCGATGAAGTGTTGAGAGCGGATGGCTGTTACGAAAGCTGCACTTGATATATGTTGCTGAGCCACCAAACGTATGTATCCCGATTTTGGGAGAGACGGGAGTTGAGAGATAACAAGCCGGCTGCCGCAGTCGAGGAAGGATGGATGTTCACAACTTGAGGCAATGTCGGATGTTGAGAAAGCGACAACGAGACATCTTGCTTGGACAGCCCCTGTTTGAGAGTAAACAAAAAGGGGGCCACAATGAGGAAATTGGTGGGATAAACTTTCCACTATGCAGATGCGCTGTCGGCCGCCATTGAACTCAATCATGATAGCCTAATTATGTTGCCACAGTGGTGACTCGATAAAGCTATAATTGATATTTCAGGTGACAAGAAAAGATCCGTCTACCGTTCTCTAGATCGATGTTAGCTTATGTTTCCACTGCACCAGCCCCTTTCAATCAGAGGTTGGCGAGGTAATTTTGGAGCAATAGATTGATTTCTCAACATGAAAAACGCAACAAAAACACGAGAAAAGGGTCAATTACGCCGCGAGTGACGCGCGTCAAAACTACAACGGGAATCTGTAATTTGTTGAGCTGCGCGTATGCGACATTTTTTTTTTTTTTTTTTTTCACTAAAGCCAAACTTCTGTATGGGTGCATTGTACGGTGTACCCAATGAAAAGAATAATAACCAGATGTTCTAAGTGTCGAGAAATGAGACAAAGGGTGTTCGCTACGCACCAGGCCACATCCTATGTGGCACAGGGAATAACGTTTTACCTAAGTTGGCTCTCTCCTCACTCCCAACGGCTTCCTCAGCTAGCCTAGATGACTATTGGGTGTGTCCAAAGTATTCAAAAATTAAGAAAGACGTTCAGCGGTCCAGTCAGTTTGTTTGCTACTCATCCTATGATGTTTACTGTATCAAATGAGTCTCGGAACATCATAGATGGTTGTTCAGCGCTCTACTTGTAAGTCATAGGGCTCAAATCAACCGCCACCAGCGATGATGGGGTGATCGCAAGCACAAACGGTAGATTCAACAAGAGGTTGGACAAAGGAATGCAAGAGCTTTTTTGACTGAATGGGAAAATCCGAGGGCATTCAATCAAATCACTGAGTATTGTGAGTCAACAACTGTTGGGGTGTTTGGACGTTATTAAATTGTTACCGGCAGCAGTACCCCCTTTCTTCTGAGATGGCCAAGGATGCCTTTGTCCAGAAGAGTCGAGCTGGTGCTGCCAGCTTCAGGGCTCAGCAGTTGTTGAAGATATAAAAGACTGCCCACCTGGCGGCTGGTCTGCCAATCTTTCTTTCCGCAACAACATCCAAATCCAAACCGCTCCCCTTCCCTCCACTCCCCTCTTCCACACTACATCCTCACCCTTTCGCGTGCTCCATCATAGACTTCAAGCATGGCTGGACCAACTCCGCGAGCTAAGCATGCTCCTCCAGTCTCATCCCCCCTTGTCACTCCCCGCCACAAACGTGATCTTCGTGTTAGATTTGGAGCATTTGCTTGCCGCCCAAAGACTTCAATCAAGCTTCGAATGGCTTTCACTGCCGCCTTCCCTCTTCTCACCGCCTGTGCAACCCACTCTTACCGAGTTGGGCCTCTATCCCCAAATTCTCGCCCAATCATCCGTCTTAACCCTAGCAAAAAGGCTGTCAGGATCGAAGTCTTCAAACGCATCAGGCCGGCAGTCAAGCCACGTCCTACCCCTCTCAAGCGTCGCCGAGCCGCTGATGATGACCAGGGACCACCCAAGAAGCGCAGGAAGTGAATCAGAGTAAGTGTCTTTTCTCTTGATCCCCCCTAGTCCGAGTCTATCTTTCCTCTGATAACACTCCATTTGTTTCATTTAACAAGAAATCTCGGCTCTAACTTCTCTTCTGACATTGTTTCATTCAACAAGAACTCTTGGATTCCAATTTTGTTTCTATTCTGTCTTCCTTCAATTTTACTCCTTCATTCATACTATGGGCAAGCAAATACCTATCTAGTATCTCGACTTCTCCACAAACACGGTTTTATCTATCTTGATCTGATATAAAACACTATTGTTACACTATATAGCCGCCTACTCTATACACGCACCATCGATCATGCCACCAATTTTTCGGTTTTATCAAGCGTATCCGAGGTAAGGAATTCAATACATAGAGCATTCAATTGGACACCCAACCAACTAACAAAGCTTTTGCAATCCGATAGAAGTCCATAACTTCTCTCAGAGCAATCCAGATATTAGCTCATCTAGCCTGGCTCACGCGCTAACGTTTTCTACAATCTGGATCTCACTAAGTACTCTCAGTCAAAAAATATGGTAAGTTTTTGGCTCAACCTTTTGATGACACTTAATCACTAACAGATCCACTCTCCTGCAAATTTATTGGCTCATCCTAGCCTACATTGCACAATGTTCCTGGCTTTTTTTTCCTCCAAATTGTCTACTGTAAAAACATGACTTTTTCATCTTTATCATTGGGAATAAATTCAAATTTTATAATTTGACTTCATTCCATGGAGATATTTTTCCATGACCACATGCCATCCTACTCATGGCAATACTATTGGATGGGAGATCAGTTTTGCAATCTTGAGTTCTGTAATAACTACTATTTTTAGTCAGACATAAAAAAAACTCAACTTCAACCACCCACTTTTCATCTCATCCAAATCCATTCTCCAAACTTTCCTATATTAACCAAATAAATATTTTCATACTCTTATC